ATGTAGGGATAGTTTTATGGTGATATAGTTATTTATGGAAATAAGACTATTGTTTTGGTTTGGAAAAAAATAGTATACACGACTATTGTATTGGGACGGAGGGAGTATTATTTTTTAATAAAAACTATTTTTTTTTAAATCTACAAAATAAAAACATATATTTTATAATATTTTTATAATTTTTAATAATTAATAACAAAAATTCTAAACCAAAATGAACAAAATTGGATATTTTAAAAAATAACGTATAAATGTCTTTAATTATCATTTTTTATATAAACAATTAATATCAAACAGTTGTTTCAACTAGTCAAATCAATTAATTGAATCAACTAATAGTTAAAAACTATTAACTAATTCTCAAACGCATCATTTATCTCTTGCTCTTGCACAAAATTAAATTGAAATTTTTTTATTTAATTGGTTCTTAAATAAAAATAAGTCATACTAATGCGGAGGAGGATCACCCGTTGCCTCCCAACGCTCACATCCCCGAGTTCACACTATTCTCGGGGGAGGATTCCCGCTCTACCATTGAACATATTAGTTGATTTACGGCTCAATGCGGAGGAGAGTATGGGAATAACGACAGGTACAAGCTCCAACTCTTCTATTTATTCCTGACAGGTCCTGCTTTTTCTTGGTATACGTCATTACCCTCAAATTCCATCCGCACCTGGGCATATATGGAAAGAGCTTTCCACAAGCGCTTTTATAACCCGCTTCCAGTAGTGACTGTCTCGGACTTGACTAACCTACAACAGCGTGGTGACGAATCTGTCAAACAGTTTTTGGAACACTTCAGGAGGTCGGAAACTAGATGTCAGGTTCGTATACCTGAAAACCAGGTGGTGAACATGGCTATCGACAACATGACACATCAATTACGAGACAAACTCGCCCTCCAAGAGTACCATGACTTCCGGCAACTGACGTCCAAGGCTGTGAAGGCCGAACAACTCGTGAGAGAGGCCCAGGCAGTTTGGAACCAGAAGTTTCGGGGTGGGAATCATTGCGTCTTTGCCCAAAACGAGGCTGCCGATGTGGATGAAGAACAAGAAGAGACCTTCCTAGCAGAAATAACGCAGGGGAAGGCATACACATGCCCAGCTCTTAAACTGCTTCGACGGAAGGACACGAACCCAAAGATATCTTACTCGTTCGATATCGCAAAGACGGAGCAGATCTTCGAACACCTGCTGAAAGACAACCAGCTTCGCCTTAAGGAAGGTCAAAAAATTCAGACCGAAGAGGAACTGAATGGGAAATCATTTTGTAAGTGGCATGGAGTATATGGCCATCAAATTGGTAACTGTATCGCCTTCCGAAATGCTGTTCAGAAGGCAATCAAATAAGGCCCCCTTAAGCTGGCCGAAAAATCTGATATGAAAGTAGATACAAAGGCGTTCCCGGCGCTAATAAACATCGTTAGAATGCGCCCAACTAGATTTGGAAGACCAAACACAGTTTCTTGGACAGCCCATAGGGGGGCAAATTTTAAATAACAGTGTTCGAACAGCTTAGGAGGTCGACCAAATCTCCAAGGAAAAGTTTCGGTGTGGGACAGACTTTCTACCAAAAACACGGTCACAGAGGTGAGTTTCTAAAAAGGGGTGAGATTTGGCGAGTAACCTCTGTGGGTCAAGTTGAGCGAGAAATCAGAAAGAACAAATGAACCGAGCTCCCACCATAACCCAAAAAAGGAGGGCGCAGCGACAGCGCCTAGCCGCTCGCCTCTTCCAGGAACATCAGGCTAGGGGGCAGCAAGCTGCCTACCACAAAGATGGAGACAATAGGCAATAGCCTCAGAACTCGGAAGGGGCCAACACCGGAAGGCCAAAGCCTGGCCGTCAGGATCTTCGCTATCGCATTCAGGCCCATAAAGAATGGAGACCGAAAGGAGTTCTCTCGAGGGTTGAATATCCCAAGGAACCGCATTTCACGATGACGCTTGGGGAAGGCCATATTCCTGAGGATGAACCGAGGATCGACACCCTTACATGCGATGGAGCATCGGAAGCTACCTTAGACACTATCGCCTGCGACCAAGACCTCGAACATCATAAGGGCGATCTCGAGGTTAGAATAGAGTAGGTGTGCTGCCCCAAGAGTTTGAAGCGCCTTTGTCTCACCCAGACTATCTCCAGGGAGATGTTTTACTGGAAAATACTGGTCCATTGTGTTGGGCAGAACAGGATGTTAATATTCCGGAAGGGGTCCCAAAACCAGTGATTTTACAGAAATTATCTGAAGAGAAAACGCATCACCTGAAACCGTTGCTCCTTACCATCCAACTCGATGGGAAGACGGTCAACAAGGTCCTGGTCTAAGGGGGAGCATCAGTTAACGTCATGACCCTATCTACCTTGCGGAAAATCGGGAAGAACAAAAATGATCTTGTCCCAACATCCTTGCGAACAACCGACTTCACTGGAAATGCACATACGGCAGCAGGCATTTTAGTGGCAAAGGTGACGGGCGGAAGTAGGACAGACCAGATGGCTTTCTTCATCGTCGAAGGGCAGCCAACCTATTTGGTTATTCTCGGGAGGGACTGGATCCATACTACTCAATGTGTCCCTTCGACCCTCCACCAAAAAGTCATGTTTTGGAATGAAAATCAAGTTGACACGGTGGAAGCCGAGGCCGACCCTGTCATGGAGATACATTTTGCAAAAGCCGTTTATTACTTCCCCGAGGTATACCCGCTGTCCATAATGCTAGAGGACGCGGGGATGTGGAAAGAATGCAATTTAACCATAAAGGGTTTTGAAATCAAAGTGGAGGCCGATGAACGGCCTAATGATACAAATGGTCATCATGCTTGACAACCTGATTGTGCATGATTTGGAGGCAAGGGCAGACAGGTCCGGTTATCCATTCATACAAGCTGGAGATCATGCCGCTCCACTGTCCGACGAGCAACCAGGGACATCCCCCAGCCGCCTTATTATGATCAGAATGAGGAAGACATTCAGCCGCCAATTTGAAGATCTGCCCAACCTTTCGAAGCACAGGAACCCCTGGAGGAAGTTAACCTGGGGGATGACGCAGTGCCTCGGATGACATGGGTCAGTGCCCTACTGGATGTCGATACAAAAAAACAAATGATTGCTTTGATCTGCGAGTTTAGAGATTGTTTTGCATGGGACTACCATGAGATGCCCGGGTTATCAAGAAGCTTAGTGGAGCATTGACTACCCACTAAGGCTTCATTTCGGCCGCATAAGCAGGCCCCTAGGCGTTTCAACCCAGAACTATTGCCAAAAGTGAAATATGAGGTTGAAAAGCTCCTTAAAGCTAACTATATTCGAACGTGCAGATACCCGGAATGGATTTCTAACATCGTCCCCGTAGTATAGAAGAACGGAGAGATCTGGATTTGCATTGATTCCTGGAATCTCAATTTAGCGACACCAAAGGACGAGTACGTAATTCCCATTGCCGACATGCTTGTGGATTCAACGAAAGGGTATGAATTTCTTTCCTTCATGGACGGCTACTCTGGCTACAACCAAAAATATTTGGCCGAGGAAGATACACATAAAACAACCTTCCGCTGCCCCGGAATCTTTGAATGGATAGTTATGCCTTTCGGCCTAAAAACGCCGGAGCGACCTACCAGAGGACGATGAACGCAATATTTCACGACCTAATTGATGCTTGCATGGAGGTATATATAAATGACATTGTCGTTAAGTCCCGAGTCTTCGACCATCACTTGTTGGACCTTCGGAAGGCTTTCATACGAATGAGGCAGCATGACCTCAAGATGAACCCGGCGAAATGCGCCTTCGGAGTCCATGCAGGAAATTTCTTAAGATTTTTTGTGCATCAGAAGGGTATTGAAGTTAATAAAAACAAGGCCAAGGCCGTCCAAGACCTCGCCCCCCCCACCCGCAACATTAAGTAGTTGCAAAGCTTGACGGGGAAGGTCAGGTTTTTGAGAAGATTCATTGCCAACGGGGCTGGGAGGATGAAGGCCTTCTCGGTATTATTGTGTGGGAAGAAAGATGCATTCGAGTGGGGAACAGCCCAGCAGGAAGCTCTAGACCAAATTAAGCGGGTGTTGTGACGAGGACGTCCAATCTTCAAGCATTCAAATGCCCGTGGTTCCCATCACTCGAAGTCGAGCTCGTCAGTTTAAAAAATCCATCACTACATTGATCAGACGATTTTTTCATGGAGAATCAATTTAAGGATGATGCTTGAAGACCATTTAGCCCTCACCTGACGCTCCCTCAATGGGACCCGCAAGAATCCCAATTGAAAGATCAAGAGAATCGCTAATCATGGAAGATTATCAAGGGAATCATCACTTATGGAGAGAATCACTAATCATGGAAGTATATCAAGGGAATTATCACTTATGGAGAGAATCACTAATCATGGAAGTATATCAAGGGAATCATCACTTATGGAGAGAATCGCTAATCATGGAAGATTATCAAGGGAATCATCACTTATTATGGAGACTTCTAGAAGTACCTTAATATATATTTCCTTTTATTATAAACTTCCATATAGTATAATTTCATATCTAGAACTTTCCTAATTATTTATTTCCTTATAGTTAGACTTACCTTTTGGTTTGTTTCCTTTATTATTTCTTGCCTTTTATTTTCCTCAAGGACCTCTATATAAGGTCATTGCCTATCATTGTAATGAGGACGTTTTTTTACATCTTGAATTGAATTTCACTTTTATAATTTTCTAGTTTTAGGGAGTGATTTCCTCGCATTTAGAATCTCAAATCGGGTCTTTGGAGTGATTCCATCGGTTCGTGGCTTCCAATCCTTTGCAGTGGGATTTAGCCTATTGTTTGTGTTTTACATGAATTGATTTCAGGTCCGAGACTTATTCTTGTGGTTGGTTATCATCTATGCTAATTCACATTCTCTGCACTATCTTTTCTTCTTCCTTCTCTTTTGTTTTATTATAATTCTTAATCCATTTGTTCAATTGAACTTTGTGGGTAAGAAAATTATATATAGTCATAATTATACGCGGCCGGGCCGTGTCAAATCAGGTAAAACAAGTACAGGTGCACGTGTAAGTTTTAATTTCAAAGTATCAAAAGCATTTTGTTGTTCACTTTCCCACTCAAACTTATCCTCTTTTTTGGTAATTGCAGTTAAGGGTGCTGCAATAGTGTTGAAGTTCAGTACAAATCGACAATAGAAACTTGCAAGGCCTTGGAAACTACGGACATCACGTATGCTAGTAGGTGTAGGCCACTTTTGGATGGCTGCAACCTTTGCAGGATCTACACATACTCCATCTTTTCCTACAATAAAACCCAAAAAGTTGCACATGTCGACACAAAAGTCGCATTTTTTCACGTTAGCATATAACTTCTCAGCCCATAAAACATCTAAAACTGCTTGCAAATGTTCAACATGTGTTTCAATAGAAGTACTATAAACAAGTATGTCATCAAAGTATACTACAACAAACTTATTTATAAAATTCCTTAAAACATGATTCATCAATCGCATGAATGTGCTTGGGGCATTAGTAAGTCCAAATGGCATAACTAACCACTCATATAGACCAAAAGAAGTCTTGAAGGCAGTTTTCTATTAATCACCTTGATTCATCCGAATTTGGTGATAGCCACTTTTTAAATCAATTTTTGAAAAAATTACAGAACCACACATATTATCAAGCATGTCATCTAATCTAGAAATGGGATGACGATACTTAACTGTTATAGCGTTGCCGGCTCGGCAATCCACACACATGCACCAACCTCCATCTTTTTTTGGCACCAATAGGACAGGTACAACACAAGGACTTAGGCTTTCACGAATCCAACCTTTGCTCAGTAGATCCTACTTGCCTTTGTATTTCTTTTACCTCATCCGGGTTGGCTCGATAGGCTGGCCGATTAGGAATTGATGCTCCCAGGACAAAATCAATTTGGTGCTCAATTCCACGAGTGGGTGGTAAACCATGGGGTACTTCATCAGGAAAAACATCATCATACACCTGCAATAAGTTAGAAAAACTAGATGGAAGTTTGTTAAAGTCATTCATGGAAAAATAAGTAGGTTTAGAAAGTAATAGCAAACAATGAACTCCATGTTCTAACGTAAAGCATCATTCCTACACATAAAAAGATTAGACCTCTCACTCTCGTGTTTAAGATTCCAGCTGGTTTCACCCTGAATCACTACACTCGTGTTTGATTTTTGAGTAGAAGGGTAGAGTATTTGAGAGTGGCTCGGGGCAGATGTATTTATTGGTGAGGATAAAGATTTGAGAGGTTGTAGGGTAGTTAGGCTATATGAAAGAGTAGATGCACTTGTATGCGGAGTACCTTTTGTTGCGGGTGATTCTAAGGAGGACTTCAAATTGGATTCCTCACATTGAGTTGATTCAGCGACATAGCCCACCATCTTGTTGTCTTTCTTTTGGTTCATTTTCTCTCTTGCTTCAGTGGCAAACTACTTGTACAAGTATTTTTTATCTTCATTTACTTATCGAGGACTCAACGGCTTTAGAACTATGGTCCGTCCGGCATGTGTGAAAGTATATCGATTACAACGGCCATCATGTACAACTTCTTTGTCAAATTGCCATGGTCTCCCAAGCAAAATATGACATGCTTGCATTGGAACTACATCGCATTTTACCTCATCCTTGTAACCTTGTAACTCAATTTTCACCAACACTTGTTTGGTGACGTTGATTTCCCCACAATTATTGAGCCACTGTAGTTTGTAAGGCCTCGGGTGCAAGTTCATCCTCAAATTAAATCTCTTCATTGCGAGGTCACTAATGACATTAGTACAACTACCACCGCCAATGATAAGACTACATACCTTAGTCGCGATCTTACACCTTCCGTGGAATAAATTTTTACGTTGTTCGGTATCTTCAACCTCCTTTGGAAGAGTGCTAAAAGCTCGGAGAGTGACTAACGTTAAATTTGACTCCGGTATGGATTCTACAGCTTCCTGGTTGTAGGAATTTGCCCCATTGACCTCTTCAGTTTCTGATTCGGATTCTTACTCACCGGAGGTCGTAAGAACCATAGTACGCTTGTTTGGAGATTGATTCGCAAAATGTCCTCGGCCTTGGCATTTGAAACATAACACATCTCGGCTATGGGTGGTGTTCTTTGGGGCGTATGTTGGCGGCTTAGGGCGTGTCGAATCAACTCTCACTACCTCTTTTCCTTTGTTGATATGTTGTGGAAGCGGCGCTTTAGGCAACCCTACAATTGGAGAAAGTTTAAACGGATTACCTTGCATCCGCTTTGATTTTAGTTGTTTCTCCACCTTTATGGCCAAGTGTACCATCTCCTCGACGTCCATGTATTGGCACATCTCTACCGCATTAGCAATATCGTTTTGAAGCCCATTCGAGAATCTAGACATCGTTTGCTCCTGAACTTCATGGATATCGGCTTGTAGAAGAAGTGTTTCAAGCTCCTTATAGTACTCCTCCACTGACCGCGACCCTTGTTGTATACTCTGCAATCTCCGCAATACTTCACGATGGTAATGAGGGGGAACAAACCTCTTTCGCATTAGTGTATGAAGTTCTGTCCAAGTACGCACTGGAGCCTCCCTATTTCTGCGGCGGTTGATGCTCAATTGGTCCCACCATGCAAGGGCATAATCTGAAAACTCCATTACGGCCACACGGAGTTTTTCTTGGTCAGTTAATTGTTGAACATCAAAGATTAGTTCTAACCTTCGTTCCCATTGCAAAAATACTTCAGGGTCGGATTTTCCTTGGAACGGTGGCACTTGAAACTTGATCGAGTTGATAGCCTCATCTTCATCTCGTCGGTGATAATTATTATGATGCCTAGGTCATTCCCAATTTTCTTCAAACTCCTCATCATCGGGTTCATCAAAGTTGTGTGGGGGTGGGGGCCGGATGTTGCATCTTGGCCTCAAATGCGGTTGAACATCATTTCGCCTCTGAGCTTCCGGTAACGGTCGGATATTCTCTTGTAACTTTTGTTGATTCTCTTCCAGTTGATCCATCCTATTATTCATCAATTCCAATCTAGAATAGTGAAGAGTTTTGAACTCTCTTAGAATGGTATTGAGAAGGCCTTGTACATCAACTTGTTCAGAATTGGATCCTACACCCTCTGTCATTAGAAATAGAAGAAAGAAAAAAAGAAAATAACCTCACTAGAACTCTCGTGTATCACTCCACACCTTATGTACCTCTCCGTCTCGCAAAAAGGACTCAAATCAAATTGATGGAATTCTCCTAAAGACGATAGCCAAAAAATCCAAAACAGTAGTGAAAATAAAAGAAATATAAGTTCAGAATGAAGGTAGAAGACAAATAATCTAAATAGAATTTTTTTTTTTTTTTTGATAAAAGAAAAGATGAATCAAGAACTAAAAGTAAATAACAAATACCTTGATATTTGATAAAAAAAAAAAAAAAAAATTCATTTTCTTTTTTTGCCTCTTTTTTCGTTTTCTTTTTTTTGCTCTTTTTTTGACGTTTTTTTTCTACTTTTTTTTTTCAAATAAGAACCGTGATATCAATCAAGAGATTGTATCAACAAGCTCTGATACCAGATGACACGGCCCGGCCGCGTATAATTATAACCATATATAATTTTCATACCCACAAAGTTCAATTGAACAAATGGATTAAGAATTATAATAAAACAAAAGAGAAGGAAGAAGAAAAGATAGTGCAGAGAATGTGAAATAACATAGATGATAACCAACTACGAGAATAAGTCTCGGACTTGAAATCAATTCATAGGTAAAATACAAACAATAGGCTAAATCCCACTGCAAAGGATTGGAAGCCACGAATCGATGGAATTACTCCAAAGACCCGATTTGAGATTCTAAATACGAGGAAATCACTCTCTAACACTAGAAAATTATAAAAGTGAAATTCAATTCAAGATGTTAAAAAAGGTCCTCATTACAATGATAGGCAAGGACCTTATATAGAGGTCCTTGAGGAAAATAAAAGGCAACAAATAATAAAGGAAACAAACCAAAAGGTAAGTCTAACTATAAGGAAATAAATAATTAGGGAAGTTCTAGATATGGAATTATACTATATGGAAACTTATAATAAAAGGAAATATATATTAAGGTACTTCTAGAAGTTTCCATAATAAGTGATGATTCCCTTGATAATCTTTCATGATTAACGATTCTCTACATAAGTGATTATTCCCTTGATATACTTCCATGATTAGTGATTCTCTCCATAAGTAATGATTCCTTTGATATACTTCCATGATTAGTGATTCTCTCCATAAGTGATGATTCCCTTGATAATCTTCCATGATTAGCGATTCTCTTGATTTTTCAATTGGAATTCTTGCATGTCCCATTGAAGGAGCATCAGGTGAGGGCTAAGTGGTCACCAAGCATCATCCTTAAATTGATTCTCCATGAAAAATCGTCTGATCAATGCAGTGACGGATTTTTAAAACTGACGAGCTCGGCTTCTAGTGATGGGTCCCACGGGCAGTTGAATGCTTGAAGCTTGGACGTCCTCGTCATGATTTCTCTAAACCGTTTGAACTTGATTTTGATGCCTCTGGTGTAGGTATTGGCGCCGTCCTCTCGCAAGAAAAGAAACCCGTTTCATTTTTCAGTGAAAAGCTACATGGCGCTGCGTTGAATTACTCAACCTACGATAAGGAATTGCACTCCTTAGTGCGGGCACTGCAAACATGGCAACATTACTTACGTCCTCGTGAGTATGTTGTGTACACTGATCATGAATCCCTCAAGCATATCAAATCCTAAAGTAAGTTGAGTACGAAACACATCTGACGGATCTCCTTCATTGACACATTCCCCTATGTTGTTAAATACAAAAAGTGTAAGGATAACATCGTTGCGGATGCATTGTCACGCCGGTATGCACTTATTACCACACATGAGTCTAAGCTATTAGGTTTTTCGTATTTGAAAGAATTATATGGAACTGACCCTGATTTCTCCAATATATTTTCTAAGTGTAATTCTCATGCATTTGAAAGGTATAATGTACATGAGGGGTATTTGCTGCAAGAAAATAAATTATGCGTGTGTAAATGCTCTTTGATAGAATTGTTGATTTGGGAAAGTCATTCGGGGGGTTTGATGGGACACTTTGGTAGGAACAAGACACTTAACTTGCTGCAGGAATATTTTTTTTTGCCACGAATGAAAGCCGAAGTTGAAGCCGCAATTCGTCGGTGTACAACGTGCCTCTCGTCGAAGTCTACTGTTCATCCACACGGTTTGTATACTCCGCTACCTATTCTTGAATTCCCTTGGGTTGATATTTCTATTGATTTTATATTATGTTTGCCTATGAGTAGGTCTGGTAAAGATTCAATATTTGTTGTGGTTGATCACTTTAAAAAATGGCACATTTTATTCCATGCACAAAAACCACTGATGCTTCGCATATTGCTTCATTATTTTTCAAAGATGTTCTTAGATTGCATGGTGTTCCAAGATCCATTGTCTATAATAGGGATTCTCGATTTTTAAGTTATTTTTGGAAAATACTTTGGGCTAAATTAGGTACAAAATTAATATTTTCCACATCACACCACCCTCAAACTGATGGTCAAACAGAAGTTGTTAATCAAAGTGTGGGTAGCTTGTTACGTGCCTTAGTTAACGAGAATTTGAAGAGTTGGGAAGAATGTTTAGCTCATGCTGAATTTGCATATAACCGTACGATTCATAGCTCTATGAATTGTTCTCCATTTGAGTTGTTTACGGTTTTAACCCATTAACTCCTCTTGATCTTATGTCATTGCCACGCAATGAGCACGTTAGTTTTGATGGCAGAAAAAGGGCTGAATTTGTCCAACAACTTCATTCTCAAGTTCGGGATAATCTACGAAAGGCAGCTGACAATTACGCAAAACAAGCTAACCGTGGGCGCAAGAAAGTTGTATTCGAGATAGGAGATTGGGTTTGGCTACACTTAAGGAAGGAAAGATTTCCAGAATTACGAAAGTCAAAACTTACTCCCCGTGGCGATGGGCCTTTTCGAGTGTTGGAACGCATTAATAATAATGCCTACAAACTTGAACTCACAGGTGAGTACAAAGTTCATGCAACTTTTAATGTTTCTGACTTAAGCCTTTTTTATGCATCGGATGAATATCTTATTTGGGAGAACGAGAAAGCTTTTCAAGAAGGAGGGAATGACGAGGACATCCAATCTTCAAGCATTCAAATGCCCGTGGGACCCATCACTCGAAGTCGAGCTCGTCAGTTTCAAAAATCTGTCACTGCATTGATCAGACAATTTTTCATGGAGAATCAATTTAAGGATGATGTTTGGAGACCACTTAGCCCTCACCTGACGCTCCTTCAATAGGACCCGCAAGAATCTCAATTGAAAGATCAAGAGAATCGCTAATCATGAAAGATTATCAAGGGAATCATCACTTATGGAAAGAATCACTAATCATGGAAGTATATAAAGGGAATCATCACTTATGGAGAGAATCGTTAATCATGGAAGATTCAAGGGAATCATCACTTATAGAGAGAATCGTTAATCATGAAATATTATCAAGGGAATCATCACTTATTATGGAGGCACCTAGAAGTACCTTAATATATATTTCCTTTTATTATAAGTTTCTATATAGTATAATTCCATATCTAAAACTTCCCTAATTATTTATTTCCTTATAGTTAGACTTACCTTTTGGTTTGTTTCCTTTATTATTTGTTGCCTTTTATTTTCCTCAAGGACCTCTATATAAGGTCATTGCCTATCATTGTAATGGAACCTTTTTTTTTACATCTTGAATTGAATTTCACTTTTATAATTTTCTAGTGTTAGGAAATGATTTCCTTGCATTTAGAATCTCAAATCGGGTCTTTGGAGTGATTTCATCGGTTCGTGGCTTCCAATCCTTTGCAGTGGGATTTAGCCTATTGTTTTTATTTCACCTATGGATTGATTTCTGGTCCGAGACTTATTCTCGTGGTTGGTTATCATCTATACTAATTCACATTCTCTGCACTATCTTTTCTTCTTCCTTCTCTTTTCTTTTATTCTTATTCTTAATCCATTTGTTCTATTGAACTTTGTGGGCAAGAAAATTATATATGGTCATAATTATACGCGGCCGGACTGTGTCACGTTGACATCTCCTCTGGTGTTAATGCCGCCGATCATCGGAAGGGGGTTGAAACTATATATAGTCGCGACTGATGGCACGACCAGTTGTCTTTTGTCTCCGGATGATGACGAACGTTGGGAACGCGCTATTTATTATATTACTAAGACTTTAAATGAGGCCAAAACTCGTTATTCGTGCATTGAAAACTTTGTTTATCCTTATATAATGCCTGCACGAAATTAGAGTATTACTTGATGTCGGTCGAGACTAAAGTCGTATGTAAAGTCGATCCCCTATGCTATTTACTAAACAAGCCAGTCCTACGAGGCCGTTTAGTTAAATGGGCGTTGAAGTTAGCATCTTTCGCATTGACATATCAACCCCTTAAGGTTGTCAAAAGACAGACCATTGCTGATTTCTTGGCCGAACATCCAGGGATGGTTCGGGTCACGCCTGTAGATTATGTAGGGCTAGAACCCTGGATGGTAGCTTTTGACGGGTCCAGTACTGCGGGGGCAGCCAAAGCAAGCGTCAGGAAAGGGGAGTATGGTGCTTCGCGCATCAACTTCCACAAGGTGTCACGAATAACCAAGCTGAGTACGAAGCACTACTTTTGACTTTGTGGTTCCCGGTCTCCAGGAAGGTCAGAAAGGTCGTCATCCGAGGGGATTCTCAGTTAGTTATCCGAAAAAACTCTTAAAGAATTCAGGTGTAGAGACCCACTGCTCCAAACCCTTCTCCACGAAGTTCACGATCTCCTTCAGCAGCTCACGGACGTAATATTAGAGGATATACCCAGGGACAAGAATTCAGAGGCAAACGACCTGGCACAATGGACTTCCGGTTTCAAAAGGAGAAAGATGCCTCAAGAATTCGAATGTTTACAGGTCGCACCAGACTCGGACTGGCGAACCCCTCTGCTGGAAGGATTGGCATATCCCGGGCAGGCCATCTCGAAAGCTATACGGTACCAGCTCTTGAAATACACCCAAATCAAAGGAGAGCTATATCGATGGAGGTCCGATGGTATGCTGGCACGCTGCTTGGGTCACAAGGACGCATTGAAGGTCATGGCCAAGGTTCATGAAGGCATTAGGGGCTCACACAGGGTTGGACCCGCAATGAGATGAATGATACTCCGCTATGGCTATTTTTGGCCACGGATCTCGTAGGACTGTGTGGATTATGCACGCAGATGTTCAACATATCAACGCCATTGACCCCTTTGACGAATCCCCGTGGAGGAGCTTCATTCAATCATCAAGCCCTGGCCCTTCCAAGGATGGGCAATGGATGTAACTGGAAAGATTCATCCCCCATCATCCAAGGGGCACTCAATTATCCTCGTAGCAACCGACTACTTCACGAAATGGGTGGAGGCCATACCGCTTACCAAGGTACAGGAGAACCATATTATATGCTTCATTAAAATGAATATGATTCACAGGTTTGGCATCCCAAAGACGGTAACCACCGACCAGGACACCTCATTTACGGGCGCGAAGGTCAAAGAGTTCATGCCCAATATGGGATCCAGTTGCTCCATTCTTCTCCTTACTACCCTCAAGCTAACAGGCAGGCCAAGGCAACAAATAAGGTGTTGATTTTGATTATCAAGAAAGCTTTGGAAGATAATCCAAGAAACTGGAATGATATGTTGGAAGAAGCACTATGGGCGTACAGGAATGCTAAATCTTCTGTGACCGGCAACACTCCTTACCGGCTAACTTATGGTCATGACGCCGTACTTCCATTGGAGATTATGGTACCATCGCTCTGAACTTTGCAGACGAACGGACTGTCAATGGAAGAAAACGATCAAGCACTGCTCTAGGAGCTCGATGCCTCACCCCAAGAAAGATTACAAGCACTCGAACATATGCGGCATTAGAAGAAGAAGGCAGAGATGGCCTTCCAGAAGCACGTCAGGTCCCAGACCTTCCAGGAATGTGACATGGTTTGGAAGGTCGTCCTTCCGGTGGGTCCAAATGATGCGAATCTTGGGAAATGGTCACCCACATAGGAAGGATCATTTATCATATCGGCTAAGACAACCGGTGCTGCATACAGGATAATGGAACCCAAGGGAAGGGAGTTCAGCACATTCATTAATGGAAAATATCTCAAGAAATTTTATCCGTCCCTTTAGGAGTTAGAAGAAGAAAGTTCCACGTAATCAAGGATTTTATGCCCATAGATATAACAAAGATGACCAGGACTAAGGAGAGGGTCTACCATCAAAACAAGGCCGATACGGCGTTGGGTTAACATCTACAGAAATAGTTCCCCCCGCCGCTTACAGGTCAGTGCAAAAGAGACAAAAAAACAAAAAGGGGAAGAGGGCAATTCAATTCAAGTTACACGAAGGACCGATCAACATGCAAGACAAACTACTGATCCACGGGGGGATCGCTCAGACCTAATCATGATTAACATGGACATCCATGAGCCCAACGCCATCAGCAGAGGCATCTTCAGCCGGCGGTTCAGGCGTCGCATCTACGATGCATGATCCCCCAGCTATAGGGACCAACATTCGTGGAGGAGGTTGGCCGGTCCGGGGGCCTCGGGGTGCGAAGAACTCCACTAGGCCATCACGCTAGGCCATGCCGAACGCAGTTCTTCGAACCCTCTCTTAGCCCGCTGGAAATTCTTCTCAAAGACAAGTTTTTGCCCGCGAAGTCCCAACAAAGGCTCATCCAGAGCCCTCGTACGATTGTACATTTCTATCATCCGAGCAGTCCTTGAGACGAGACTCGCAGCTACCCTCGCCAATTCCGATGGGATCTCCTTCAGTCGCTCCTCAATTCTGCTCAATTAAGCCCATAGAGTTGTTTCTTCAGCACAAAGGCCCTCTATATACGCCGTCTCATCCTCAGTGCGTTGTTTCTCGTCTAGAAAACTCTGAGCGCAGGTCGCCTTCTCTGCTTCTAGAGCCGCCAACTCTTTAAGCTTATTGTCATTCATATTGCGGACACCCTGCAACATCTTTAGGTGCCCGGAGGTCTCACCTAAGCGGTTTGCAAGATCCTTCAGTTTCCTGTGATGATGCAGGTCCGACGATAGGGATGCAACCGTGGTCAGGACAAATGCCTGTAAGGTGTCTAGGATGAACGAATTCTCCGGTAGGGCAGACTGATAGGCATCAAAGGGATCCGTAACTAGTTCCCCGAAGATAGAAGGAGCAGAGGCATCAGTAACAAGCCTTTGAGCGAAATATGTCTCCACGTCGGCGGGAACTACTTCCGGGACTAGAGGAGCGGTCCGAGAAACGGACATCCAGGTATTATCAGGCTTGACTGAGACAAGGGAGTGGGTCCGGGCCGATTCAGTCGCCGCTTCCGGAGTTGCAACTTCATGAGAAACCTTCATGCTTCCATCAGTTAGAACAATTCGCGGAGTCAGACATATATTGATCTTTTAACGCTTACCTGGAAAGAGGACGGAGGGGAAACAGATCGCTTTGTCTACTTGGCGGCGGCTTCAGAGCCTAACTCCGCGCGGAAAGCCTACCAAGCATGGTTCATCAGGAAACTTCGCACATGCAAGTACAAGGAAAGAGAGAGGCGAAGTATACCTGAGCAAGTGATGTCCATGAAGGCGATTCTGCTTCCGGGGCGATTGAGGATAAAGGGGTGGCCCTTTTGGGAGGAACCTGCACAATTCCAACGGGATAAGAGTCTATCTTCTTAATGGAAACTCGTTCTTGGAGTACCTGAAGGAAAGGTGGTGACGGAGCTGGTCGTTTGGCGGGCCGCTTCGGCCGCGATTTAGGCCCGGCTGGCTTTGAGATCAACCTTCGGGTGCATCGAACTGCGGAAAGTGATATGGACCGAACGCTTAGGAGGTGTGCCTGCGATAGAAAGAAAAGTAATCAGTCATATGTGTCTCCGAACCATGTGTCCAGTAGGTAAAAACAAACAAAATACCTGTAGTCGAGGGCACGAGTACTTCCTCTACCCCCTCGGAGACAGCGTCGGGTGATCCCTCGTCACTCGAATGTTCGTCAACTAACTTGGCTAGAGACCGCCGTAGGACAGCCACGTCCGCATGAGCTAGAAAATCAGCCCACCAGCCATCAAAGGTAAGCAAAGTGCTCGGGTCAGGGGAATAAGATGAGTGCGGAACATCTTCTATGTCGCGAATATAAGTGCATCAAGCATCAAAGAGAGCCGACCCTAGATTCTGGCCTAAACCAAGAGGGGGTGGTAGGAGAAAGCCGAACAGAGGATCCCTTGGACCAAGACAATGGTGAGCATAGTATTGAGGTTGATAGACTTCTCCGAGCAACGGATTATATCGGGATCCCACAGACAAACCCCCAATCAAAATCCGGGCAGTCAGACACTTATTCCAGCACATTGAACGGGGGAGGTCGGTAGCCGCAGGAATGGAAACACCAAGAAATGCAAAGAGACCGGATAAGGGGCAGAACTCAGTCAAGGTTCGATCGGTCTCATGTAAGAGGGAGTAAGGGACCGAATGTAGATCACCTTGAACATGAGGGTATGATGCCAGATGAGGGCCTAAAACCGTATGTGGACCAATGGGAAGTTCAGGCGCGGGCTAATTAAATTTGGAAAATATAGCCGTGCCCACAACTTGAGAAACCATAGAGGACCTGCTCCTACCGGTTCGCAAGAAGAAGACACAGAAAGCTTCCCTAGAAATTCATTCACACCATGATATAGCAAACCCAGAAAGAACGAAGCTATGTCTATCTCCGCCACTGACATAAGGGTATTTACAATCGGTTCAACTTCTCGGACAAATCCTTTTGATGCACAACATACAAAATACTTGCTGAACCAATACATAAGGAACGCATTGTACTCCAAAGGATCAACATGACCATAAAGCATGTTTGACACAAGGAATTGGCTCACAGTGGTATTACTGTCAAAGAAAACACGGATGGAAATCAGCCGGACTTGTACGACAGGGATAAAGGAGGTTCTACCCTTTTCAAAGGTAGACCTAAAATTGCTACCACATCCAACACAGTCGGGGTTAAAATCCAGAAGAGAAATACAAATGCATTTATGCTAGGGCTCCAGAAACACATGAGGGATTTGATCATAACGTTGTCACGAGGGATGAATTCAGTACATAAAGATAGCATATCCCAAATACCACAAGTCCGCCATTGCACCCCAAATAAAGGATCTAACCTAGCCATCCAAGATTTAAACTCCGAAATATCGCTACGGGAAGGGAAAACATTAAGATTGAACCAAGATTGAGCCAACAGAAGCTTACCCCCGCCGAGAGCGTCGAAGGAACCCTCGGGCGCTTCATCTCGGTCCTTCGCGAAGGCGCGAGCCCAAATCAAGCCCAGCCTATGTCGGGGCCACCTTTCCGGAGCGCTCCGGAGAAGGATGGCCGGTCTGGGGGCCTGTTTTTGGCCTAGACATTGGAACTCCCCTCGTGGTGCAAGAATCGCCGACGACCCTTAGAAATTGACAAAAAACAGCTACTCCCCGCCCCGGGTCGCCTGGTATCGCTGAGATTGTCGCCTAACCACCTCACGAGGGTACGCTTGGAAGTCGCCACAGCGCGTCTTGAAGGTAGAGGGAGCGAGTTCGCCGACAAGACGAAAAGGAGCAAAGGCGCGGTGCACAGTCGCGAAGAGGAAAGAGAGAATATGAGGGCTTTTCATGGTTGAGCAAGTGGAGGGTGATTTGGTTGTATCCCGAAAGACATAAGGTGCAGTCCTATGAAGGTGAAAGACGGAACTGGCATTGAAATGATTAAGCGCACAGACGAAGCTTAAAAAGCAGGGATCTTACAAAATTACCCAGGCATCAAATTAATTTCACCCAGGTAATTTTGTGGGGGGCATTTGCACACTCCAAAATTAATTGGGTCAACCCAAAACAAGTATAGCCCAAGTTCGGGAAATGTACGGCCCAAAAGGAGGTCCAGATCAGTAAGTGAGTCTGCGGACCCGACCAAACCAATGAGCAAGTTAGCCCAGCAACAACCTATTGGGAGTTAACAAGCAAACGGATAAGGCATAATTTAAAAACAAAAAGAGGTTGAGGAGGTTCGAAAAAAATTAAAGATAAAATCTTATCGGAACAAGATTCAAAAAATAAAGCCTAGGAAGGCTACGGCGACGTGATTCATCAATTCATCATCTTCTAGATTAGTTTTCTCTGCAATTTTTTATTCCTGTAATTTTTTCCAAATTCTTACAGTTTTCTCCCATTAATTCCAATTTAATTTTCAACGTTAATTCATGTCTTACCTTTTTCTTTCTTCGCCAATTTTTTCGGTTATAGCGAGATAGCCTGGATCCTTTCTTGAGAAGGCCGGGAAACCCTAAGATTAAATTAATACCGACAGATTTTTCCGATTAAGCCGTCGGTGGCGATTTTTTTACGACAACAATTATCAATATATTATGCAAAATAAAATAATATTTTTGTCATATCATATCATTCCCTCTCTCACTTAACTTGTCTACTTTTTCTATTTTCTTATATCCCACATAATTTATTATTTTCTTTTTTAAATATAATAACATACTTTAATCAAATTTTAAAATTCATAATTTATAAAAAAAATATTTTAATTACATTAATTAGTCATTTAAATTCTAATCTATAATTATGTTTAATAATTATAATTATTTTTATCAATACATTTTTTAATTACTTACTAATTACACAATACCTACAATACTTAAAACTTTGTGTCTAAACTAAAGTAAACAAATTAAGTTAGTAATATATATATATATATATTTGAACGGTATATGACTCCAAAAAAATATTATTTTTTTCACCAAACTCAAAACATTTTTTTCCAAACTCACTCAAATATCTTGTTAATCGTAATATAATAAAAATTTATCTTGAAAACAATACAAATGGCCTCATAAAAAACATTAAAATAAATTGTGGATAAATAATTATACTTCATCTGTCTCCGAAGAAGGATACTATTTATCATTTTTATCCGTTCCAAAATAAGGATATTATTTTCTTATTTAGTAATTGTACTACCTACCTAACATAATTAATACTCTTGCAACTTACAATGTATTACTCAAATATCATTATTTTTATATCACAATCTAATATAAACATTTTTGTCTTTTTTACTATAAATTAATATAATATTAATATTTAAAAATCTACGTATAAAAAATAAACGTTACTCTTCTTTTGGGACGGGACGGAGATAGTAAAATATTTGAACTTTGGAATAGTATTAAAAATGAGGAGGACCATGCAAATCACTTAAAATTAGTTATTCTAATTTACTTAATTAATTAAAATAATTAATATAAGTTTATATCATCAATTTTAAATAATCACCATGCGTCCTGAATTCAAACTGAATTTTCAATTCAGAACCCTTTTCACCCCCTTAAAAATTATATTTTTATCGACCAAAATTTATAGTACGAAAAAACACTTGATTTAGCAAATACTTTTTCCGTACTATAAAATTAAGCCGATTTAGTCGGCACAAATTTTAAAAAAAAGGTAAATAAAAATAATTTCTTGTAAAGTAATAGTTTTGTATGGGGAGTGGCTCTTATTAAGACACCACCATACTCAACATACCCTTACCGTGTCTAGCTCAAATAGGTACAAGTTTGGTAATTTTACTAGGGTGTGTTTTTTTGGAAATTGTATTTTAAATTAAAATTTGAATTAAAAAAAAAATATTTGAATTAAAATAATTTTATAATGCAATATAAATAAATATTAATGTAATTTTTTAATGTAAAATCAATTTTTATTATAATATAAAAAAATTAGTGTTTGATTTCATATTTTTTTTAAAAAAATTTAATATAAATAATAATTTTTTTAAAAAAATGCACAAAAGAAACACACTAAAAAGTGCTTTTTAGGCATATATATTTGACAGAAGGAAAGAATCTTTAATGTGTTTGATTTTGGATTTGAGATTCAGATCAACCCACATGTTTTCAATAAAATATACTCATTCGCACGTCTAACAGTATACATTTTGTATTCTTGTCCGTCCAACATAAACTTATTTATTTATTTATTTATTTATTGCTGAAATAAATTTTACACATCTATAAAATACTAATACAATGAATATCTTTCACTCAAACGAAGACAGTAATATTTTTCTTATACTCTCTCCGATCCATAACAAAATATCTATTTTTCTATTTTAGTATATCCCATAACAAAATATTAATTTCTTTTTTAGTAACTGTACTATCTACTTAACATTACAAATATCTTTACAATTTACAATATATTACACAAATGTCATTACCTTTATATCACACATACTAATAAGGTTATTTTAGTCATTTATACTTTAATCCTACTGCATCCCAATATAATACTAATATTTCTAAAATTACTTACAAAAAGCAAATGAATATTTACTTCTAGGACGGAGGGAGTACAATATTTCATAAAAATAATACTTCCTCCATCCATAACTAAGTATCCATTTACTTTTTGCATGTTGATCTTTGGATATTAATTATTATATCAAAATGTATTACAAATCAAGGGAAAATTGCAAAAATATTTCTATTAGTGTCTTATAATACTAATATAATGACATTTGTATAAAAAATTATACAAATATAAAGATTTTTTTATTGTTAAATACAATGACTCAAAAGGTAAATGAATACCTTGTTATAGAACGGATAGAGTATTTAAACAAAAACTAAAAAGAAATATATTCAAACTCAAATCAAACCCAAACAAACTATAATACTCCCTCCGTCCCGGTGCAAAATTGTCGTTTACTTTTTACACATAAATTATTTAATATTAGTATTATAATGGATTGTAGTGAAAAATACAAAATATCTTTATTAGTATTGTGTAATATAGTATTCCCTCCGTCCCAATAAGATTGTCTTATTTTTTTCATTTTCTACCGTCCCAAAACAATTGTCTTTGCTTCTTATTTAGTAATTATGATCCCTACTTTATAACAAAAACTATTGATACATTTCCAAACTATCTATAATTATTACTCTAACCTAAACCCTTAAAATTATTGTAAAAACAAGAGTATTATAAACTTTTTATCTTCTACTTTATACTCACTTTCAATTAAATATTATTATTTCTTAATTCTCGTGTCCATCCCCAATAAGACATCTTTTTTGAAACAGAAAGTATAAATTAAAAAGATATTTATTATGTTAGAAATTTATTATGTTAAGTAGTACAATTACTAAATTAGAAAATTATAACTTATTTTGAGACAAACAAAAATGAAAAATAAGAATCTTTCAATACAGATAGACGGAACTGAGGGAGTAATACAACTCATCAATCCACTAGTAGTAGGTATAGTTTGCTATTATGTTTCAGGTTTCTTATTTAGTAAATATAGACCCCACAATCAATATAATTTTTAATAAAAGTACACAATTTTCTCCTAAAATGTTTACATAAAAATATTACTTAAACCAACATACATAAAAAAAATCCATGAATGTTTTCAAAATTGACGAGGCCTTTAAACCAAAAAAAAATCCATGAATGCATGTAAAAAAGTTGTGTTGGTACTGATGCCCCCTACTCATCAATTTTATTTATTTTTTTTTTCTCCCAAAACTATTGAATCAAATCAAATCAAATCACCTATTTATATGACATCAAACACCACACCAGTATTAATTCAAAATTTTTACTATAATAAAACCCAAAACTCAAGCGTAAAAGAACACCTGAAAACTTTCCTAAAATCTTATTATTCGACGACCTAAATCTTATTATCTAGACCTAAAACTAGTGCCACAAGAGATTCAATAATTTCAAAACTAGCAAATCCAGCAAATGTTACGAAATAACAAAATGGTCAAATTATGAAAATATATCAATAGCCAATTCTGATGGATGAAGATTTGTCCTCAAAGTTTCACAGACGAAATTAAACATATGAGAGCAGACAAAGTTCTAATCGTACCAAACCAAACATGTTGAAAGTTCAGCGTAAGCACAACGTCTAGGTGTTGGTGGACCGGGTGTATATCTGCTGACTCGAATGAGCTGATACCATTCGGATCAAGCCTCTTGCCATAAGCTCCCGGATTGCTTTTCTAGCGAGTGAACCATTGATCTGCAGATGAAAATTTACACAACAAAAATCAAGACAGAATTATATAATGCCAACTCCGGAATAGAATACCAATGTCAAACAACGTAACTTAGAAATTGAATGATGAGGGAAACGGTCAGTGCATTGCGCAAAAGGTTTTGTGAATTCATAGAAGCTGGATATAAATTTGAGCAAACGAACATAAATCCAGTAACCACTTACGAGAATGCCTGCCTAATGTCTGATACCGTTAAATGAATGCTTGTATGGAGAATTAATTCAAGAACCAAGTTTAATAACTTTCTTAATAATAAACAATTTGAATAACAGTTACTATATATATATATGCATTGACAACATTGACATCAACATCAACATCAACATAAAGGTTGCAGAGCATTTTCTCTCACAGGTAGATAAGGTGAATGTTATTGTCAGTCAAAACATAATCTTTAACTAGTTAAATCCACCAACAAATTCTTTACTCCAAACATTGAATCTGAATACATTGAAAACAACTTCAACTTCCAGTTTGGGGACGGAAGCAACTAGCTCTCATGGATAATCACATCTTACGCTTATGTAGCACAATTAAAACAATGTTTATTCATACAAGGTTTTATAAAAGTACAACTACTCCACAAAATCGGTTCACCCAGCATCAAGTGTCTTCATGTGCTACAAAATAAAATTACTGTGAATAAAAACACGATACGCAAAGGTTGTAACCTACTAAGCATTGCAAATCTGAGAAAAAACGAAACAATGCAGAGAAAATCAGAACGAGCTCATCAAGCCAGTCACGCAAAGATAAGCAAACTGAAATTACCCTGAGACGATCGGAGAGAATGGAAGGAGTAATAAGCTTAAATTTTGGGGCCTCCGTGAGAAGCTTGTCGTAGGTTGCCTTATCAAACAACACCATATTGTTTACTTTCTCCTTTTGCTTCCCCTTGCTCCACTTCTGCAATGGTTACATATTTCGATTTTTTTTTTTTTCTCGAAATTAGATATCAAATCCAGAAATCAACCGCAGCAATAAAAAAAGATAAGTATCAGAGACCTTCTTCTTCTGCTTGCCTCCACCGGATTTCGCCGGCTTGGACGACGGTTGAGGAGCCTTATCTTTTTTCGGCGCCTGCACAGACAGAATACAAAAGTACATAAACATAAATTCCAGTAACTAAACAGCAGATCCAAATGGATAGTGTAGAACTAGAGCAGCGGCGTACCATCGGAAGAGATCTCGAGCTCTGATGGATTCGGGGAGCGGCGGATAGAAGACGGCGCAACGAAAAACAAAATAAGTAAAAAGAAAGAAACGAGGGTGCAGAACTAAACCCTAGGCGTACAAAATTGCTCCCATAAACCGGTGTCGTTTTCAAATTAGGCCTTAACGGTTATTTCGGCCTTCAATAAACTTTTAAGCCCAAATTTATTCAATTCAATCAGTCTAATATTGTAAAAATTGTTGGCCTATTGGGCCTCGTTGATGTTTTTATTAAAGGATAAGTTCAAATTTATTAAAATTTGTTTTAATTAAATGAAATAAATTTTGGATTTTACAAAAAATAAAAAAAAAATAAAAAAATTGGCCTATCATATTCAAGTTGTATGTACGTATTTAATTATATATTGTTAAATTTTTAATATACTATCTATCTCTTATTCAAATTTGAATCCATTTTTTATCTTGTCATAAAAAAATATTCTTTTTTTTTATATAGAAAATACTATTTTTCTATTTTTTTTACTATATATTGCCGTTGAAATTCGTCGATGATGGACCAATAAAATAAGTCAGTCAAAATCGATAATAATCGGGTTCCTCGGCCTACTCAAAAAAATATCCGAGCTAGTCTCGCAACAAAAATGAATCGAAAATAATTAGGTGTTGCTTTGTTGAATTATAAAGAAGACGAAAAAGGAAAACCGTAGAATAAAAAATAATAAATGAAGAACTTAAATATTAATTAATTTGGATAATTAAAGCTAGTGAGAGAATAGGAACCAAACAAAATAATAACGAAGGAATGAGAATTGAATTATGCATATGTTGATCGGATTTCTTGTGTTGATCTCTCTTTCAATTTTCTTTTTTCATAGCCATTTTTCCATCATTTTTTACTGGATTAATTTTTTATGGAATTTCGCGATTTAAAATCCCTGTGTTCGACTTAAAAATTCACCAGTTAAAGAGTATAAATAATTATGACTACAAGCGCACCTCTCTTAGGTTGAGTAGCCTCAAGCCGCTCAGATTCTAATATACTGAATAAACTGACCAGAGGTATCCGGTGAGCGACTGGTGGCTCGACTATGAAAAACTGAAGGAATTTCATCAGAAAGAGCTTGAGAATGAATTCGCTCGCCAAACGACAAAAGAAAGGATGAGGGCCTTCCATGCCGAAAAGATCACGCGCAAGGATGTTTTTGAGGCTGCGAAGAGTGTGTTAGCTGCTAAACAATTTGACTCTGCTCATCTTGTTAACATGGAAGCAGCAACAGCGTATGAGAAGGCGAAGGTAATGGGGATCCTCTATGAGAGATGATTCGACCCCGAGAAGATCACAGGCCCACTCGCTGACTGGATAAGAGAGCGGGCCCTGACTTGGTTGATCCAGAATCCCAAGGACCCAGTGGATGTATCATTAGTGAGGGAATTTTACGCTAATATGAGCCAAGCCGACAATCCCAGGAACATATACGTTCAAGGGAAATGGGTGGACTATTCGGCGAGGCATATCAACCGGGTCCTGGGTTGGTCAGTCCACTATCCGACCCAAGAAATGGAAGAAAAATTGAGTGCAACGGAGCAATGTAGCTCGCTTAAGCTGCAGTCGCTCTACAGGATGTTCGCCACCGCTCCCGAGTATAAGAAAAGAAATTTGAAGTTTGGGTCGGTGGACGAGGACAAAGAGGAATGGGTTAAGTGGTCACTGAGTCGAATTATGATAACCACTCACACCACTGACATCCGACCTGACTACCTGTTCGCGCTGCGCTCAATCCTGGAAGAAAAGGCTGATATTGATTTGGGCACGATAATCTGCATCGACATCTGGACAAGAAGGAAGGTAGACCGAACGTTGTGTCATGGGACCCTGATTTGGAGAGGCTGTTGATTTGCCCACTCCAGCCCCAGAGTTGCAAATGAAGCCGCTGCTCCCAGCGGCCTTTCACAAAAGCCGGCTGGAGTCCAAGGGGTTCGGCCTTATCCCCAAACAAAGAAAAGGAAGGCAAAGACGACCGCTCTTTCCCCCCACCAAAAAAGAGAATGAAAGTTGTTGAGGAGGAGATCGTGTAACACCTTGGCCGGCTCAAACCGGAGCGTCACAGCCACGCCACACCGGAAGGCTCGTCCATCAACCAACGAGTCCTACGTTGTGGCGCTAAGGCTAAAATAATAAATACCAACAACTAATAGAGACTTAGAATTAAAGCGCAACGGCTTATCAATTAAGTAAATAAAGTTCAATTCAAAAACATAAATTGGAAATAGTTCAAAAGGCTTTAGTCTTTAAACATGATTAATGAATTTCAAAAGTTTCTTAGAAGGTAAAGTAGTTCTAATTTCCCCCAATGCATCATATGACGTGAATGCATCACTTAGGTATAACGGAAGCATGATCACCTACAAAAAGATTGTAAGAAGAGGGTCAACACAACAGTTGAGTAAACGCAATTAATCGAAGATAATTTAATACAGTATAATGCCACAAAATCATTTGAAGAAGATAATTGAATAATATGACACGTATCACATAAGGGGAATTCACACACACGAGTCTTTTAGCGCCTCCCTTATACCTTTTTTTCATTCTCAAATAATAGTGATGAGCACATCACGAAGAAAACTCCACTAGGCCTTAATCAGGGCCGGCTCGACCCGGTTTTCCAACCTTATTACTTCGTATGACACATCACATAGTTTCACATAGCAACCATAGGGTCACAAACCTCAAGGAAAACTCCAGAATGTGTACATAAGGGTTCGAAATCCAAAGTACATGTAAATCAATTTATTATTAGTTTGCGAGGGGCGCCATATAGCCCACAACCCTTTAGTCTCCGATATAACATACCAAGAGGGGATTGTACGCAATCCGTTCCTCCATCACAGATGACGGTCTAAAGACCTTTTCATTGTGAATAACGGGCACCTCGGAATCACCCAAAACGGGAACCCACCATCTCGATCCCTCGACCTAGCCCATTCGGGATCTAGTTAAAGTTTCGCTAGTTATCCTAAAATACCGATATACCCTCACGTGTTTGCAAGGCACAGAGGTGGAAGACTATGCCTTATCATCCAAACAATCGACGAGTTGATCGGACTCGACAGGTAGTTTCAATTACCAATTTGACCAAATACTCAACATGCTCTTAGGAAAATTTCAAAAAGAGTGTTTTAAACTCAAAATATTTCAATTTTCAACATTTAACCATGCAAAAGTAGGATATTAGACCCAACAAGTTCGTTATAATCACACTTTATTTCGCCAAATAAACATCCGAAAAATATGTCAACCACAATAGGCATGGTCTAATTCCAAAAATCATAATATTTAAATATAATCGTAAATCTTTTTCCAAAAACTATAATTAGGTTGGGGCAAAACTAGGGTTTTAAACCCATCCCATAAATTCTACGATTTTCAATTTAAAATACAATAATAATCTTCACATAAGCCTTAGATGACATTATACTCAACTTTCTAGAAGAAATTGGCAAAACCTAACACTTTTAGGGCAAACTCATTTGACAATAATTTTGAAAAAGGGTATCAATAGAAAGGGGTCTAGGGATTAGAACGTATCAATCTATCTAAGATTAATCCCACTTACCTCAAGAGAAGAGACCAAAAGGATGAATTTTTTAGAAGAAGAACTCCAAGAAGAAGAAGGGCTGGCGGCGGCGGCGGCATGCGTGATGGCTGTTGCTGCTGTCCTTTTCTTTTCTTTTTTTTTTTAAATTTTATTTTATTCTTTTATTAAACATAAAATATTTAGCCCTTTATTAATTATTTTATCCTACTTTGGCTCAAACTCAATTTTTACTTCTAATTTAAACCCAACTCTTTAATTTATTACACTAAAAGACCAAAATAAATTATGCCCAAAATGAAATTTGTCCGACACCGGCAAACTTCCGGCGATTATTTTACGGGGTATTACATCCTTCCCCCCTTAGGACATTTCGTCCTCGAAATCGATCTGCACGCCCGGAGCTACCTCAAACAACTCTGGATACTTTCCTCGCATTTCTTGCTCGGTTTCCCATGTCGCTTCTTCAACCCCATGCCGCGACCACACTACCTTCACCATCCCTATCTCGCGGTTCCGCGTCGATCTAAATTTGAAGGCCACAATCTGAATAGGTTGCTCTGAGTACACCAAATCCTCCTGAAAATCCAAGACTTCCGGCTGAAGTATATGAGATGGGTCAGCCACGTATCTCCTCAATTGAGAGACATGAAAAACATCGTGAACCCTTTTCAATGTCTCCGGCAAGGCCAACCTGTAGGCCACCTCTCCAATCCTTTCGATGATCTCGTACGGCCCTACATATCTCGGGCTCAACTTTCCCCTAATACCAAATCTCCTCACACCCTTCATCGGTGAGACCTTAAGTAATACATGATCACCCACCTTAAAATGCCCATCCCTTCGAGCAAGGTCGGCATAACTCTTCTGGCAATCTTGGGCGGCTTTCATCTTAGCCTTGATGTTACGAATCTGATTCATTATCTCCTCAATCATTTCGGGGCCCAATACAACCCTTTCTCTTAGGTCACTCCAACACAACGGCGTTCTACACTTCCTCCCATACAAAGCCTCAAAGGGTGCCATCCCAATGGTTGCTTGATGGCTATTATTGTAGGAGAACTCCACTAGAGCCAACTGATCCTCCCATCGGCCTTGAGAATCCAATGCACAAGCTCGCAACATATCTTCCAAAATTTGAATGGTGCGTTCAGTCTGCCCATCGGTCATCGGATGAAAGGCCGTACTCATCCTTAACCGAGTACCGAATTGTTTCTGAAGCTTTTTCCAAAAATGCGACTGAAAACGAGGGTCGCAGTCCGAGACAATCACCTCCGGAACTCCATACCTCTTCACCATGTGTTGGATATACAACCTTGCCAACTTCTGCATGCTCCAAGTCATGCTTATCGGGATAAAAACTACTGCCTTAGTCAATCGATGAACAACTACCCAAATGGCATCCGCGCCCGATCTCGACTTTGGTAATCCGGTCACAAAATCCATAGCAATCGAATCCCACTTCCATTCCGGAACTTCCAACGGTCTTAACAAACCCATAGGTCTCTTATGCTCCACCTTGACCTTTTGGCAATTCAAACACTTGGCGACATACTCTGCAA